TTGCTGTATTTCTCAGCAGACATAATATCAATTTAAAATAAGTTTTAATTATACTTGGGTAAGCAATTTCACTTTTGCAGTTCTGTAAATACATGCCTCATAGCATTAGGTAAGAATCATATGACAGGGATTAATTTTGAAATAGAGCAGCACAGAAAATAAGCACTATTATTTTTATTATTTTTAGGACAGAAATAGAAAGTAATCAAATTAATAAAGGGACTAAAGGATTTAAGAAGGTATTACGTATTGAAGGTGCATTTTTATCTTCCATAAATATCCCCTTTCAAAAGAAAATACACAAGAGCAGTACAGGAAGTAAAAACCATTGTTGTATGAGATAATGCATTATAAAAATTCAAATTATATGTCAATATTTAAATGATGGTTATGTAGATTCAGAAAATGTAGAATACAACATTTTGGTCAAAAAACATTTTGATAATACAATCATTGATATTTAATATCCTGTTGAATTTCCAATTCATTTAATTTGGAAATCTTATCCCTCTCTCCAAAACTCATCCTATTTATAAAGATTTATCAGAGATGGTTTTGAAATCTTTTTCACTTCATTGTAGAATACCACACTTTCAACCTTTTAATACTTTTTACATATAGTACGTATTTTGATACATTTCAATGAATTTCAAAATTTTATAATAATCTAACTTTCATTTTTGTATACAAAATACTATATTATTTTTGTATACAGTCAAAAGTCTTTAATCCGGACTCGGCGGGACTTTGGCGATTCTGGATTATCGATTTTTCCGGATTATAGATCGTCAGTTTAAATCTAGTAAGATGGCATGCAGAAATGATAAAATTAAAATTATGAAACCATAATTTATAAAATAAAGAGCAGTTATGATCTAAAGGGTATCAAAATTTACAAAAAAAAAAGCTTAATATTTATTTGATTACTTTATTAAACATTTAATTCAACTCGCGCATGCTTAAAGCATACATTACGCATAGTCGAAATTAGAAAATTGCAACCAGAAAACTATTTGATGTGTATTCGTGATATTTATAATGACGGGGAATTTGATTTAAATCATATCAAAGACGGAGTACATCGAGATGAAATACTGCATTTAATAAGGAATTATAAGCTGAATAAAATAAAAACATCTGCCCTGAAGATAAGGATAGTGCTGACAGATCAACTTCTAGTTCATTGCGCTCTGCGACGTCCCCACTCCCCCTCCCGCAGAGCAGCGTGAAATTGATAAACAGATTTCGGAATGGTTAGAGAAACAAAATATATACCTTTATCCATTTTTTGCAACAATTCCACTTTTTGTTTGATACATCGGAACATGCTTTCACTAATCGAAAATTAAAACTTACTTTTATAAAATTGCTCCAACAGTCTGCCAAAAATAATAAGCCGTATCCAATTAGAAGATTAAGGAACAACGCAATCTGCAACATTAACTAAAATAGATAATTAGATAATTTTAGCTTAGCTTATACTGTCCATTATACATTAAACACGCATGCGTAAACGTATTAGCGCATGCATATGCGCAGGTATTACGCGCATTCATCAATGCATTATGCGTTGACGCATGCTCAGAAAGTTTGTAGCTTTGAGGTCCAGATTATAGATCATTCCGGATTATGAACATCCGGATTAAAGACTTTTGACTGTATTAAATACTATTAAAAATACTATTCTTTTTTGTATACAAAATACTATTAATACTATACAAAATACTATTAAAGATTGCATTCTTAATTCATTCTTAACCATTATGAGAAGCTACAATAGCTTTCAAAATACTAACACCTTGATATACAATTGAGCAGATCTTCAGCTGATATATGTTTTAATTCACTAATAAGAGTGGTTAAGGAGTGCTCTCAGGCAGCTTCTAGAAGGTCTTCTAAGAACTACATCATTCCATTATAAATCAAATTCTCTAAATGTGTAATTTTATAAATTCTTTATCCTTCATCTTTTTTTGTATATAAGGGTACAAGGAACAGTTATTCAGGGGTAAAAATACACTGATTCTGAACCAGTACTCACCAGTACACTGATTCTGAACCAGTACCAGTACACTGAACCAGTACAATCAGTGTCTGAACCAGTACACTGATTCTGAACCAGATTCTGAACCAGCATGCACTCTACTATGCAAATATTTATTAAATAATTTAATTTTATCAGTTATTCATAATTTAAAATTATCTTTACTATTTTTACAAAATTTTCTTTTTAATTATGGCATACATAATCAGTATTACAATTTTTATTTTATCTTGTAACGTATAATAATCTTTTGATATTAATAAAATGCATTATTACAGCATTTAGAAATCCTCAACACATTTTAATAGTATTTAGAATATCTCTTTCTCTGTATAAAATAGTTAATTTAATGCCCTTTCCTAATTTAGAGAAAGTTCGATAATTACAATAAACTGTGCTAATGCCAATAAATTGTAATGAATGTTATTTTAAATTAAAATAATTAAAGTTTTTATCATATTTCTGTATGGCGAAATTTATTTATTTTGATTATGTTTTTCACTGTGTAGAACAATATAAACTATTGACATTCTTTTTACTGTGTTTATTTCCCATATTTAAAAATGGTATTCTTAATTTTGTTTTCTAAATTCAGAAATAAGTCTCAACACTACTATTTTATGACCTTGCGACTTTCATAACTATTTCTGTGTAACTGTTGACTTGAATATAAAATTTTAAATCCATGTATTCAGTTTAAATTTTTGAATGTATTACAAAATGTAGATAGTGAAAGAAACAGCATTTTCATTATATGCACTTCTAAGCTGAACTGTTTTTTTCGAATAGACTGTTTTAGGTTTGTAAATTTTTTGAAATATGCTGCTCCTTTTAAATATTCCTTCTAACATTAGGTGTAACAATTCCCTGTTCTTTTAAAAAATATACTGTAGGAGACAGGGTTGCCACCCTACCTTGAAAAACCAGGAAAAAGTCTTGGAATTAAAAAATTATCTAAAAAAGTCAGGAAATTTGGAAATTGTCTTAAAAAAAAAAGGGGGGGGGTAAACTCAGTGAATTTAAATATTTTAGTCAAAATCTGGAAAAGTCGGGGAATTTCATATGGCATTCCCACCAAAACGCGATTTTTACACCAATGTTGAAAGCGATAACTGTTCTTCACGAATTATGTATCGCATGAACGTCATTTAGGCAGCTGATCTAGAGCCAGTATTCGCAGCTGCAATCAGATTGTCTTTTAGAAAGGCAAAGCAAGTTTTCAACAACTCTGGTTTCCAGTAACATCGAGAGATTCGCATTGGTATGTGCAGTGCATGTTGGACCAAAAAAAAAATGCCTTTCCATTCTCATATAAAACACAGTCGGTTTAATTCCAGTGTACAGTATGCACAGGATATGGCAACATTATTATGAGCAGTAAAGTGGACATTTATGATGAGTGGTAAACAGGTCACTTTGGTGTTGGCAACAATTTTCAAAATCATGTCAAGAATGTACCGTATACTAGAATTTTCCCACAAAATCTTTTAACCCATCTTTATCTTTCTAACAAATGTCTTATTTGTCATTTTGTAGTAAAAAAAAAATAATAAGCAGTCATCTAGGCTAACCATTTAATAAAACTAACTATATTTGCCAAGATATCGTTGGTTCTTGTAATTCAAGTTTTAAGTAATTAACTTAATTTTAATTTTGCTTATGTATGCTGCTAAATGAATGTAAAATACCTGAATTTATTTTAAAATATCATTAAATAGATTTCTTTCTTTCGCTTAGCTGCAAAATATCTAAAAAAAAAAAAGACATTTTTAAATCCAGATTAAGCAGATTCTAATCTCAATCTTCAGTGGAGAAAACAACTGCGATTATAGTTATAATAGTAATGCTTTGGGAAAGCGATTTTTGTCATACGTAATTGGCAAATTTTGTGTTTTCAAGTGGTGCCATAATTATTTTACCTCTCCGTGCAGCCAACGTGCATTACACGGATAGACTGGAATTTTCTTAAAACACACCTGGAGAACCTGGAAAAGTCAGGGAATTTCATTCTCCTATTTGAGTGGCAACCCTGAGTGGAGTCATCGTTGATTCTGCAATCATGTCACTGCATAAAGAAAATAAGTAAAATGCAGTCACTTCACATTAGTAAAATTTTGGATAAAGTTTCCCAAAATCCATTTAGGAAGATTGTTTTGTTTGTTAAGCAACGTAGCTTTTATAAGCTTTTGTAGCTACTTGTATCAGTAACTGCAAAAGTTGAAGTCCAATGTAAGAAATACCCCTATAATACAATATTGTTTTGCTAGTATGAAATTCTGCCTCTGCCTGTATTGTAGTTAGCAGAGGCTGACTACAAACTTTGTTAGGACTAATTTTGAATCCCTGATGATGTGTGGTTATTTGTGATTAGATCTTGTGGAAAGGAGGGAGTTAAATTCTGTTATGAAAGGTCCATTTAAGGTGATTAGATCTTATGGAAAGGAGGGAGTTAAATTCTGTTATGAAAGGTCCATTTAAGGTAGGAGAAAATAAGACTGAACCTGTCTGATTAGAAATAGGCTAGAGCCTAGGCAGATAGTCTTCCCGTGTTTCTCCCAAATTAAGTATTCTAATCCAATACAGTATCAAATATCTGTGGAATATAATCATTATGGAAATCTTTGTTCTTCAGAACTGTGCTCGCAGGAGTCTGAGTGATTCACCTTGAGTTTAGATCTTGGTGACTGAATGGACTACTTGTATGGGGTTCTTGTAGTTTTTCTCATGTGTTAATGTAAGTACAAGCCAGTTTCCATTAGCAAATCCATTTGAATGAATCCAGTCTTAAAAAATATACATCTTAAATATTTAAATTGTGTAGTATAATTTATTTGGAGCTTTATTATCAAACTAAATTAAATTTAAATGCAGGCTGCTATTTTAAGACAGCTGTGAAGTGCAGTCACAATATAAATTGCAAAATTAAATGTATTGATTTTATTTCTTCCTGTTATAGGAGATGCAGTTATAACTGCAAGTCCAGTTTTACCATCTGTGCTCTCTCACCAAAAGAACAAAGCAAAACGAATTTTGGTTTCAGATGGAGAAGGTCCTTTACCTCCTATAGTTATGCAGGCAGGTAAGTGTACGGATGTATGTACTAATTTATAATTGTCTGTTCTAATGTTTTCAACAGTGATAATTTCTAAAGCTTGTATTATTGAGCATAAAATTTCTAGCTTTTGTTGTAAAAGAAGCTTATTTTAAATCTTGTTAGTTACTTACTATTTGAAAACTTTATTAATAATGTAAAATTTCTTAGATAATATGGAAGATGGCAAAATGGAATGGACTCAAGTTTTAGAAAAATTGCGAGGTAAGGAATTCAGAATTAACTTAAAAAAGAATGTGTGGTAAAGTATTTTATGCTTTTGACTCATTTTTAAAATTTGAAGGTATCAGTTTCAAACACAGATACACTGCGGGGGGGGGGGAAGACAATTAGTATCTCTCATTCTACTGAGCCTGTTGATGAAATCCAAATTGTGTTTTCCATGTATCGAAGGCGCGACTTAGGATGTATATTAGATTTATATATAGCATTGTTCTAACATAAGTATTTTGACACAAAGTTGGACTTTTTCTGAAATAACATACCAATTTGTTCCCATATTTCAACTCTATTACTCAAATTATGCCTAGATATTAAATGTAATTTTTGGTGAGAAATTTATAGAGAAATTAAAAAAATTATATTGGCAAATTTTTTTTTAGTTTGCGCCAAGAATTATTCACATAGCAAACTTCTTAATTTATAGCAACCTATTTTTCTTTCCTTTTTCTTCATTGTCCACAAGTTGGAATAAAGTCATCATTCATCATTCATATAATTCATATAATTTCATATAATTTTAACAAAGTGCTTAAATGGCATTATGCATTATTATCACTTATAATAACAAATATGCCGAATTTCAAAATGCACCAATATGTAAGTTCATGAATATCTTGGAACATTTTGAATGGAAAACTCTTAATTTTTTGCAGGTGTGCCTAAAAATACATCTATTTTAAGATGATGTTAAAGATTTTATAGGTTATACTTTATTTTAAAATACAAATTTTAAAAATAAATAAAAAATGGGCGAATTTTATTTGGAATGAATCTAAATTTTGAAATGTGAAAGGAAGAATCAAACAAGTTTAGTAAAAAAGAAAGAGATATTAACAAATACATACCAAATTTAATTAATATTAAGGAACTAAAATTTTGAGAGCTAATCTTTTAAAAACTAATCTTGCGATTTGTATAAAACTTGGCAGTTTGGCATAATTTTAACAAAGTGTGTACACTGCATTTCCATTATGATCGCTTATAATAAATATGCCAAATTTCAAAACGTGCCAAAAATGTCAATTCACATGTATCAGGAAATTTTGAAACATTAATTTTTTGCAGGTATGCTTAGAAATAATATTTAAGAAGATGATAGCAGAAATTTTATAGATTATAATTTAATTTTTTTTTGAAAAATTTATAAAAATATATAAAAATAAAAATTTAAAAAATAAATCCTAAAAAATTGGTAAATTTAATTTTGGAATGAACCTAAATTTTGAAATATGAAAGGAAGAATCAAGTAAATTTAATAGAGTAAGAGATATTAGTAAGTATGTATCAAATTCAATTAACATTGAAGAGCTAAATTTTGAGAGCTAATTTTTTAAAAACTACTTGTGCAATTTTTGCAAAATTTGGCAGTTTGGCATAATTTGAGGCGTAAAATCGAAATGTGGAAAAAAAATTTGGTATGTCATTTCAGGAAAAGTCCGATTTTGTGTTAAAATTAGAACAAGGCTATATATAAATAAATACATATTCTAAGTCGCACTTTTGAGGCATGAAAAACGAAAGTTGAATTTCGTCAATCGACCCGGTAGAACAGGAGATAGAACTGTTCCATTTTTTTTTTCACAATGTACATGCCATGCTTATTCAAACAGCCTAAATTCATTTGATATGGTATAATTTGCGTATGTCTTTGAAAATATGTATTGTGAGTGGGATGGTAATCATTGGGCATTTTTGAAAGTGAAAGTAGCATACATGTTTTGAGACGAATGTACATGGATCCCAGAAAATATGTATTAGAGTGTATAGAAAGGTATATTAGTGTATCTGTGCAGAATTATATTCTCATGTCCAAAAAACAGTTTAAAAGCTTACCTGAAAGAATAAATATCTAATAGGTGGTACAAATTTTAGCCTTGATAAGATATAGAAATATAAATATAATTGAATATACAAATAATATATATAATTTTTATGTATTAGTAATGTTGAAGAAAATTTTTCTTTAGTACCATAATATGTATAATTAGCATTTACAATATCAGATGGTTTGTGGAAAAAATCTCGCAGGCCTTGACCTAGGAATTAGGATTTTTTTAGGTAGGTAGCTTAGTATCCATGAGTATAGGAGTATGTTCATAATTGAAAATTCCACAACATACTATTTCTTTGGAGATGATATTAATTTGGATCTAGAAATTCAAAACTTTGCTTATGATTCTCAAGAATATTGCAAGATTTGCAATAAATAAATAAATAGTTCTGTGAATTTTGACCCATCACATGCTTTTCCATGAGATAATCGTTTCAAGCAATATAGCAAGTTTTGAGCTCCCCCCCTTTTAATGTTGCTTCTTTGTTTTGAATATCAGGAAGTAATATTTCCTTTGAAATCCACAAACATGTCATAAATATTTATGACAAAGGATTTTCATTATTTTTTAATAATATGCTAGTATAAATGTAAAAATACCATAGAGTATTTTGACAATTACAATGTATAAGAATGGCAGCGAGGAGGTAGACCACTAGTGACATTTTGATTCAAGAGCTTCCATTCTTTAATAATGTTCTTTAAAACTAACTTATGAAGACTTGAGTTTGGAGGTTGGGGAGCAATAACTTCTCTGCTGAGCATTTTCTGTTCGCTTAATTCTACAGGTCTGGTTGGTTAGTCTAATGTTTATTATGTAAAATTTTTTTTGGTCAAGTCTCTTGAGGTCAGGCATTATCATCTATGAAAGAAAAGTTAAGACCAGCAGTTTTTCTAAGACTGACAATTGAATGTAGGATCGTGTTCTTATCATTCCTAACATTCACATTACTTTTGTAAAACTTTAAATAGGAGTGCAGTCATTTATAATTATAAAGTGTTGCCACACTAGCTGGAAAACCTGGGAAACGTCAAGGAATTAAAAAATTGACGAAAAAGGTCAGGGAATTTAAATATTGCAGCCAAAATTTAGAAAAGTCGGGGTATTTCATATAATAATCTCCAAAAAGCAATTTCCACCAGCGTTGGAAGAGGATCGCTTTCTTGGAGAATTATTTATCATGTGAGCATCATCCCGGCAGCTGGTGTAGAGCCAATTTTCGCAGCCCCAAACTGATTTTCTTTCAGAAAGGCAGAGCAAGTATGCAGTATCTTTGCTTTCCAGTAACCTCCAGAATGCATAGAGTGTGACTCTCATTTTCTTACGAAGAACAAGAAATCTGCGATGTTGAACGATAGAAAATTCTACCTTTTGGTTTAGAAAGCTTGTTTTTCTGTAATCTCCAATTGAAAAATGTAGTATAGTAAGTGAAACTTTTCTGTATTTGCTTGATAATCATTCTATATCTGCTGGTTAAAATTGTAAGAATTCATGCAGTGCATTTTTAAAGTTAAAGGAAATCTATTGATGCTTTTTGAATCATTCTATTGTTCATTATTAAAAAAATCAAATAGAACTGTTGAACTTTTCAACATCATTAGGGGCTGGCTATCTCATAATTATTGCACTTTGAAATTATGCAAGATGTGGTATTTTGTTTGGTAAACACAAAAATATTTATTTGTTCTGAATTTGATTTTTTGTTGTTTTTGTTGTTTGTTTGTCTTATTTAAAATTTTTCTTTCAAGAAATTAACAGGGGTGGAACTTGTGGCTGAATTCAGAAGCAAACGTGTTAAATATAATAATGTTTGCCCCCCTTGTTTTACACACTTCATGTTGTAAAAATAAGTAATTAAGCCTTCTGATTAAAATTTCTGATTTTGCTCAGCCTATCCCACCATTCTCGTACAAAACAAAACCTTTTAAAGCTTTTTTTTTCTTTCTAGTAAATGCGTAATTTGTAACTTTGCAGTTACAACTAAAAAAATAATTAGTCCTCTAGGCTAACCATTTAATATATCTGTATTCACCAGAATGTCATTGATTATCATAAACCACCTTTTAATCTTTTTCAGTCTTAAATTAATCAGTTTTAATGTTATTCACATCATTTAGTGTGGCTACTTCCTTTCTAAATTTGTTTATTACTAGTTAATAATACTTTTAGATTTTAGGCAATTTTCTCTGGTATACTTATTAAACTAATTCTATCAGTATGATGATATACCATCACAAAATTTAGTACACAAAATTTTTTACTTATGTATTCCGCTAAATAAATATACAGTACTTGAATTTATTTAAAAATATTCACAGATTTCTTTCCTTTAGCTGTAAAATGTCTGCAGAAAAGACATTTTTTAATCCAGATTGGGCAGATTCTAATCTCAGTCCTCACTGGAGTTCATGGTTGCAACTTATTGTAACAGCTCTTAAACATGGCAAGATGCATGTTTTGTCAAAAACTTATCATGTTTAGTAACATGGCAAGAAAAGCAATCACAAGCCACATAAACAGTGTAAAGTGCAAGAAAATCATTTGTATGAAGTCAGAAAATTTTAAAATAAAAAAAATTTCTGTACAAATAAAAAAACAGTTCTGCAGCACAGCAATCTTCGGCACTGGTTGCTGAATCAGTAAATTTAAACTCCTTTGTAACTTAGGATAAAGTGGTAGCTGCAGAATTACTGTGGGCTCTGAAAGCTGTTTCATCACACATTTTTTTATTGCATTTAATGATGTTGCTGTTCTGTTCCAGAATGACAGCAAGAAAGCTAAAGCTGCCAGGACATGCTAAAATGTCATATTTAGTGTCATTTAGTTCGACTTCATAAAAATCTGATTTCATTTCTCATTTTTGAACTTAAGAATACTGAATTCGTAATATGCTTCAATGTAGCTTTAAGTAGGATTGTTCAGAAAAGTCTGTGGACAATGGACAATTCTGTGTAAAAATTACAAGGAGTGATCAAATGAAAAGGTATGAAACGACACGGTGGGTACAAATGTGAACTTTATTCAAATTATACACCATAGGCCTTAGCACAACGATCCCAATAATGAACAAGCCGCAGGATTCCTTGTTCCCAGAATTCCTGTGGCCGTGACGAGACCCAGTCCTTCACACCGTCTTTGAGTACGTCGTCCGAGTTGAAGCGCTTCCCTTTCAGGTGTTTCTTCAGTGGACCAAACACATGGAAATCACAGGGCAACATGTCCGGACTGGCTCGTAGTGATGGCACCAGGTCTCATCACATGTGACAATCAGCTCCATGAAAGCGGGGTTTTCCTGATACCGAAACAGATGTTGCAGTGCTAGCCCCATACGCAGTCCCTTTTGCTGGTTGGTGAGCTGCTTTGGAACCCAAGCGTCACACATCTTCCAATATCGCAACCTGTCGTGAATAATTGTCCACATGGTTCCATAGCTGACGTCCACCTTCACCGCCAACATTCACAATGTAACACGTGGATCACTTCTCACTAGGTCGTCCACTTTGTCGATAAGATCGCTCATAATGACAGTGTTTGCATGGCCTGGTCTCGGGTCATCACCCACACTCTCACGGCCTGCATGAAAACGGGCACTCCGTTTTCTGACAGACTTGTCAGAGACACATTTCTCTCCATAAACTTTCACCATCAGGCGATGAATAGCTGCCGTTTTCTCATCTTCCGCCGTCAGAAATTGGATAACGCCTCGCTGCTCCTCAGTCGTCGAATTTTGCAATTTGAACGCCATCCTGCCCTCGTACGGACTGCCGTATCATTTGGACGCCGCTATTGATAAGAGCCTCTACTCTCTCCTGTGCATGCGGGTGCCCGCGCATGCCCCGATTCTAGTCAGAGACTCCAATCGCATTCCAAGATGTATCGCTACGTTCTCCCATGACGGAATATGCAAATATTTAACTGTTACATTTTTATGTCTTTTCGTACCTTTTCATTTGATCACACTTTGTAGATTTTGGGACAGTAGGAAGAATAAGGTGAGCACAAGATACCTCATGTCAATTTTTTACTATTGTTAATGACCCATTGAGAAGTTTTTTGAGGGAATCTCAGAATTAGATGGAAAGAAATTATTCCAAGTATCCTTGGATAGACCAAATGTCAGTCTTAAATTTCTCAGAATTTTGAAAGAGAATTTAGCAAATAATGTAAATAATAAATGTGACTGTAATGTAAATAGACTGTCATTTATAGGTACACGGTTCTGTGGTTTTCATGTCATTCACGGTGCCTTTTGAGCTGGGCATAGAGCTACTGACTGAAATCTAAGTGCATGACTGGAATCTAAGATATGCATAGAGTATTTTACAGACAGATTATGTTGCCACCACTAATCATACGATTTTTCTCCTAATGTTTTGTGAAGTAAGATGATGTGAAAACATACCGTTGCCGAGAGAGGTATTGATACTTTTCTTCATGCAAAAAATATGTAGAATCATCTGGTCAACCGAAGACTGTGCCAGTTGAAAAACTGAAAGAAGCTGTTAAAACTAAGTCTCTTCTTTATTTCTGTTGCGTGAGTTCTGAATCTATTTTTAATATCCTTTCAGACAGCTGATCCTATGTGCCACTTTCTGTACACAACTTTCCAAAACATACTTGTTGCTCAGAGAGTTATTGATATTTTTTTCTTCGTGAAAAAATATATTGAAGCATCCGAATTGTTAAAGCCTCTCAGTTGAAAGACAGAGAAGCTGCTGCTGCTTTTGCAAAATCTTGTTTTTATTTGTATTGTAGGAGTTCTACATGTATTTCAAAATCATTTTAGACAGCTGATCGTATGATCCCCCCCTCTTCTGTACATAACTTTCCATAGTATGCTAAATTAGCTTCTCTCAAAATTTGTCAAAAGAGGTTTACTGCAAGAAACATAGACTCCTGAAAAATAGATAAAAATTGATGTTCTTTAGCAAACCATTTATTGTAATGTTGCAGATATGGATGTAGGTATTGCTGCTGGTGCGAGTTTAGCTAAAAGTTGAGTGTCTGATCCAAAGAAAAGAGAATTTAGAACTGAGTGTAAAACCTTTTTGGTTAAGCTTGGAGCACAAATAATTGAAAGAAGCCCCATTTAAATATAGCTTGGTCAAATACATTCCTTCATTAGATCCTAAGCTCATTACATCATAACGAATTTTTTTGTGAGAAAAGAAGGGAGAGGTTACTGCATGTTCTGTATGAAAGTGAATGCATAAATTTCGCAGTTGCTGATAAATCAAAAGTGAAGTTTAAAGAATTGTTATTCAGAAGGATAATGTTTGGAAAGACACTTTTGTTGACTATGCTTTCATTTTTATAAAGACCTGATTAATAATTCAGATTTTGAAGAATTTTGGAGAATTGTCACATGGCACTGCCACAGTGGAAAGTGGTTTCTCAGTCAATAATGATATGTTAGTGTAAAATCTTCAGGAAAACTCTTTAATGGGAATGCAAACTGTTTTATAATGCCATAAAAGTAAATGAGGTGTGAAGAATATTAATATAACTCCGAATATGTTACAATATGCCAGATTTGCTCATGGTTTATATCATCAAGCATTCTAAAAACGTTAAATGATAGTAAAGGTAAATTCTAGGACAAAAGGAAAGCACAAGCATAGATTAAAATTTTAATGGAAAAAAAAAAATAAAAATTGAACAAAGGTGTTTGTTCAATTGACTCACAAATTGCAGAATTGAAACAAGAAATCTGGTTTTGTGATAATTTTTTTATTAGTATTTTTCTGTTAATGTTTTATTTAAATATTCTGAATGTTCTTTTTCCCTCTTCAATTCCAATCTAAAATTATACTTACTTTGTATTATATATGCTTATATTAAAAGTTTTTCACCAAAAGTCTGTCGACTTTTTGAAAAGAAAACTGGCTTTTGCACTTTCAGAATAGCAACTGTAGTAATATCACAGAGTTGATTGTTCGGGAATTATATATTCTTTAATAGAATACATATAACTTCTCCCCCATTGCCATTTTGTAAACAATAACTTTCATTCCAGAATTTATTTGTAATACTTTTTGAAACAATGAAGCTGTCATTCATGACATAATTTTATCACAATGGTGGGAAAAATTCAGTGTTTAAAAGTTTATACATTGCAATGAAAAATCGATGAATATCATTTCTGATTTTGTTTAGTATTTAGATGGAATGTATTGCAAGTATTTAATTTTTTGTGTATGTTTTCATGTATGTAATATTAGTTTGAAGTTATGTTTTTAACTAGTAATACTTGCGGTAACATTTTATTATAAATGTATTTCAGTGTCAGTGAATGTAAATATTTTAGATGCACTAACAATCACTCCTGGTGTTATATACTATTTTCCTGTATTTAAAAAAGTACTGAAGAGAATGCTGGTTTAGTATGTTAATATTGTGTACAAAGTTTTCTTAGTTTGGTAAAAATCTTAATTTGAAAGTTATTGAGGAAAAAACTCATTATAATAGTAATGCGTTGTGAATTTGAAAGTAAATTTTTTAAAGAAAGTCCTATGTAATTGCCACATTTTGATGCTTTCGAGTGGTACTATAATTGACGTACCCTCAGCACAGCCAGTGTGCACTACACAGTTACATTGTATTTCCTTAAAACACACTTGGAAATAGTCAGGGAATTTCACTTTACTGTTAGTGTGGCAACTCTGCTGTTAGATACTTTACAGTGATTAAAAGCAAGCTTGTAAAGAAAACATCATGTGGTTTTGTAGGCTGTGCAAGAATTTTTGGCTTCTACTAAATTTGGCAGTTTGCTCCACCTTCCTTATAAGATTTTTAGCCTATTCTAAAAGATGAATTCTGTTTAATTGATGCAGTAAATGAGGTCTTTAAAGATTTACTGGAAGTGCTTAGTATATGATCATATAATGGTATTTTTCAAATGTTCTCATTATTCAAAGGCACTGGAATTAGTGCATGTGTTACAGTGGCACCAAACTTGCAACTGAACTGTACACCAAAACTGGCAGAAGAGTTAACTAATATTTCTATAGCAGCATCTTCTATTTGATTCTATGCATGATCTAATTCTGCCATTTGTGTTTTGGAAAGAAAGTGAAATAATAGACATTCTTGTAAATTAATTGAATGTTAATTTCTCTTAACAGTGATGCTAATAGCAAAATTTATTTTAATTGAGATACTGATTTTGTTTTAATTGTAAATTTTTTAGATGAAACTGCAAAGCCCATTAACTTTGCTCTGATGAAGAACATTCATATATTTGTAAAACTGATTAACTGTAAGTATTAAATATACTGTACTATATGAAATAATTTAATTGCATTTGTCTTTGTTTTGAACCAAAAAAGTTTTAATGAAGTTGACATTTTCTAGTGGATTGCTGCTTTGGGAAGGAATGCTGGTGTTTCACAAGTCATGGTCTTTGTACAGTTGGTCAGGATGAAGTAATGGTAGTATTAGAAAGAATGCCTGATGAAAATAATTTGCCCCGTGGGATTTTTAAACTCTTTATTCAAATTTATGATAGTGCAAATAAAGGTAATTCTACAAAAAAGAAAATTAAAAAACAGAAAAGTGATTTAAGCTGTCCTTTAGTATTAATGTATTTGATCATTATTTAGGTTCTACATTTGATGATCTTGGCCACATCATCTTTCCTGAGCAAATTTTGGGAAGCAGTGACCATAGAGGATTTTTGTTTGTTCGACCTTCATTTCAGTGTCTGAGTAAACTTGTGGTGCCAAATTCTCCATTTCTAGTAGCTATTCTTATCCATAAATGGGAAATCCCTTGGGCAAAAGTTTTCCCACTTCGCTTAATGCTTCGTTTAGGCGCCGAATGTAGATGTAAGTGTAACCCTGTGGCAGTTGAAATGTACTCTCTCTCTCTATATATATATAATGTTTTATTTTAATGAAATCTTTGGTTTCAGATTATCCCTGTGCTTTGGTGAGCACTCGTGAACGTAAGCCAGTTTATTTTGAAATCGGACAAACTATTATGAGTGTATTGGCTGTAAGTTTTTCTGAAGTTATTTCTAAAGTCCTCCTTTGAATTGTTATAATATTGCATGCTACACTAATATATGTATTGTACATTGATCTTGTTCATTTTATAGTTTTATTGCTTCACAATGCATGTGAAACAAAATCTCAGAGCATGTTGTGTGAAGATTCCATTTATTTTATTAAGGCGTTGATTCATTGCTGAGCATATGTGAACTATGCTTACATAAAAACTATGGCTTATTATGCACTCATATAAACCCATTTTTTTTAGTTATCTTTTGCAGTTAGCCAAATGTGAAATGCAAGTTTGAATATATATCACAATACAATGTTAGGATACTTTATTTGCTTCTAGCCAAACAAAAATGATTAGTTGTAAAGTGCATCATGGGGACAAACTTACTAATTTTTTTATAACTGTTAAGTGCAGTCATAAAATTTATTCATATACATAATTGGTATTTATTTCGAACAGTAGTAGTATTTGACTAAATTTATTGCCAGTGATATGCAGGCTGGTTTTAACCTTATTCATGTCACTGATCATCATGCCTTTTTATAATTTGCTTGAATACAATTTTTAAAGATGATTGTCATTTAGTGAGGAAAACTGGAATTTTGTACTATTATTATCCACTTTCACTATTGTAATTCTGAGAATGGTAATGTCAGGATCAGTTAGTTCACTTCTGTATTTTAAGTAGAGAATCTCCTAGGTTTAAAAAGTTGTCTAGGGCCAAATATAAAGCATTGTTTCAGAATCTGAGATGTAACTGTTTTTGTTGGAATAATTTCCAGAAATCAGATTATGGAAAATTATGTGTTAGGGAATTGTTTTTGTGTTATTTTAAATATTATCACACACCATATACTTTAAAGATAAGATATAGATAAAATTATATGAATATGTTGGGTAATGTACTGTCTATTATAAATAGTTTGGTGAACTGGATATGCTTCTGGCTGCCTTTCGGTTGTCATTGTACAATGTTCTCCCCCCCCCCCCCGAAAATTCCTAATGATATTATGGGAGGGCAGTTAGGCTTTAACGAAAATGAAAAAATGTAAAAGAAGGCCAGATTTTCTTGCTAAGGTTTGAGCAGTGGCATTTTAATCTAGAAAGTCGTATATTTCGTAAGTGTTGGTAATTTCAGTGAAGTGTTTAATCAATAAAATTTGTAAACTCCAGACAAGGATTAATGCAAGATGGAGGCAGTTTGGTGGGTTGTACAACGGAATGGTAAATGGCCGAATGTTTTTGCGTTGGCTTGTAAGGAACTGTTAAGGAATATCATGCTAAAAAATTTTGGAAATACATAAGCCCCGTTCACATGCAACGCTCTTTAGCACAGCCACCATTCGTATTAGGGAGAAACGGGGATATGAAGCAGTTTCGCCTTCAGGACTGGTTCAGATGCACATTGTCTTCCATCCCTCAACCCATAAGCCACTGGGAGCAATGAATGATGTCACAAACGTGGATCCAATTTCTAACGTTTGCTCACATCTTTTTTGGCATTGTTTACTATTGCTATCAAAAGCCAATCGGAGTTTAACTCTTTAATTTACTAAAATACACATAAATTAATTTAAAATGCAATTTATTTACGAGACCAAATGGTTAAAAGAAGAAAAGAAATCACGTATATTGCTGAATGGTTTTAAATAAAATGTTTTCTGGCTGTTAAAATTTCACACTTTGCTTTTTGAAAAAATGAATAAAACGACAAATTAATATTATTTCCATTAATTATAAATGTTTTAATATTGAGTATAAACATTTTAGAAAACATAATTAAATCGTGCAATAAAATTTTTTTTGAACCTGTTTTATGAAGATTTTAAATAAAAGCTTCTAATTTATGTTTTATATTAACCAATTGAATAGCACTAGGTTTCATTTTATATATATATATATATATATATATACGTTGTTTGTGTATTGAAATTCAGTAATAACATTTTAAAGAAATTTGAAATGATTTAATGACGATTTAGGCCGTTTATATTTTTTAAAGTGCTTTTTCTCAGTTTGAATTTTGTTGATAAGTCTTTTTATTTAATGTCCTAAAACTTATATAGATATGGCCTAAATTATTTAATATTTTTACCGCTTATTTAAAATTATATACTTTATAGAAACAATTATTTGCTTTGCAAAATACTAAAAAGAAAATTTATTAAGTGAAAATGTGAATGAGATATTTGTTTCAAAGATTTTACATAAAAATATGTTTTTATTTTTCTTAGAAACTAATTCATTAGTTTGCAAATCGATCATTAAAGTTATTAAGAACTCTCTAATAAATACAATAAGAAAATTTGGGAAAAAACATTGAAAATTGGGAGAAGAATGACATTTTAATTGTTAAATCTTTCTTCAAAAAATTTAAATTAAAAAAAAATTACTGGCCAAAAAATTATTAAAAAAATTTGAAAGGTTTTTCAGATTTTAAATTATATCCAAAGGCCCGTTTTTTTTAACGTTTTACGTATTACCTTTATTTATTAAATATCATGTTCTACTTACTCAAATCATAAAATTAAGTTCAACAGCAGTATTGCAAAATAATTTTAAAATGAGCATATCTTTAGAATTTCCGATACAGAGTCTTGCGTGCAGGATATAAAGAAGGGTCCCCCCCCCCGCTTTGAAATTGTTGAGTTTGTTAATAAAAAAAATTCCTGAAAGTTTTACAAAATATGAAATTGTTAATAAAACAAATTCCAAATTTGGGCTTCCAGATGCCCGTACTGGGGTGGAAATGCACGTTATTCAAAATTGGATGGCTCTAGGTACCGTTGTTTTATCACAATGCGAGAAACATACATACATTTATGCGGATTCTTCATTATTTAATTAATTTAAATATAATACAGGGCAATAATATTTGGTGGCAACAATTTAAAAAGTGATTTGCCTTTCAGTTTTCAACGCAAAATGCCAAAACGAAATAAATAGTCCTTCAGGGCAAATTGTTCCTTTGGACTAAAAATTTTCTTTCAGCTTAAAATTATCTTGTCTTGCAAAACTATTTAATAATATTAAGAAAAAGTAGATGAAAGTTCTTAAATTAAAAAAAAAAAAAAAATCATTCAAAATGTACCTAGCCCCCTTGTCTCGTTGAAAACGATATGTGCGTCTTTAGTTTTAATTTGAATGGTATTTCTGGAATACCCTGCATCAGATAACCTTCTGTATACTAGTTTGCAAATTTCCGTATTTCGTACAGTTCCATCTTATTTTTTTGGACGATATCGCATCCCCAGATATCTATCAACGCGATTATTTCGCTGACAGTCCAGCAAGCAGTCATTTGCACGTCAGCCATGTTATTTGTTAAAATAAGTGAACGGCCCAATCGTGCAGTGCAGTATGGGAAATCTCTCCATCTCTCCATTTGCCCTGCTCCAGAGAGGTAGGAACATTCAACCAAGTTCTACCTCGAATTCGGCGAAGCAGTTAACTCTTTCGCATCGAGAGACGACCAAATCTGTTTTCAACAAACATCGAAAACGCCCGTGTTTACGAATTTGTCTTGGAATAGTTTTCCTTTCCCCCTTGCTGCTCTTGGAGGTTTTTCTGCGGTTTCTTCCATTGTGTGCAGTTTCACCTTAGGGCCGGATTGCACCTGCGAACGTCAATAGCTTTACGTATTTCTCCTTTATTTGCTTCAAAAGAATGATTGACATGTCTTTTAACAACTCGCGAAACCAATGAGCCATACACTAACGTGGAGGGGAAAGAACTAGGTAGAAAATAAACGAGGCGTTGGGGCGGTTTGCCGTTGCCTGAATGAACGGGCGCTACGGGCGACTTCGACGTGAAAGAGTTAATGCTTGTTCGTCATGTGAATGGGACACGTTGTAAAAACAGGTTTTCGCTACCCGTCGAATCTGTTCTTGTGAACGAGGCTATATAATTTTTCTTTATATCTTAAAAAGTTCAGCATCAATTTCACTATCATTCTAATTTATGTAAATTTATTTTTTTAATCTGTTTTTATTTTGTTGTATACTTTTTTTTTGTGTTTGAAATGTATATTTGTTTTTATTTATTAGCAAATTCTAATTGTAATTTTATGTTTATTTCTTGTGTATTTTCATGTATGTTTAATTTGTAATTATTAGTATTTAATTTGTAATCTGTATTTGTGTATATCTTCCATTTATAAAAATTATTATAGATAACATTGTCATATATAGAAACGTAGCATTTTTAAATAAATTTTTAAATAATATAATTTGTAAATAAATCCACATAAAACTTACTGTGATATGAATTAAGTATTTTCCATATGCTCATTTAAAACAGAACATGCAGAAGGAAAAATACAGTTTATATATTTTAAAGTTAACTCTGCAGCATATTTTATATTTAGTAGCAGTTTTTTAGCATGATTTTGCTCAGAATTTGCAGCTAAGTTGAACAAGACAGTCATTTTTCATAAGTGTAGAAATATTTTATAGTATATGTATGGTACATAGCTTATTTTTCTTTTTTAAGGATTTGCGAAACTACCAGTTTACTATTCCTGTGATTCCTGGTGTAGTGGTTCACATGGAAGAAAAGAAAACCTGTGTCAACATTCCACGTAACCGATATGAAAAGGTGATTTTTTCTGATGGAATACTATGAAATTTGCAATTTAGTAAATATATTTAATACTTTTAATTATATGCTTTAGTGTTTAGATATTCAACATATCTGAGATTCTGTAAAATTAAATTATGTCTACTATCACATTGTAAAACTATTTCATATGCAATTTTTTAATACTAATTATAGTTAGTGTCTATAAATACTTCAATAACTCTATAGAAACTTAAAGCAGTTTTTTAAATTTCGTAATAATGGCTATAAAACGTAAGTTTATATGTTAAAGATTTCATTCAAATCGTAAGTAATGCAGTGAGTATGAATGATTGATACATAGATAGATAAAGAAAAGGTTCTAGGTATAGTTCTTTGCCATGTGCTCTGAAAACTTTGTTGATATAAAGATAGATAAAAAGTTTCTAGGTATAGGTCTTTGCCATCTGCTCTGAAAACTTTATTATTCATAGAATTTAATTGTAACTATTTTTTCTATGCTTTAATGTGTTTAATGTTACAAATTATTGAGTCAGTGTTTTAATGCTTTATCTGTGTAGGTCAAGTTGAGTGAGAGAGATTGTACATTATTCAGTTCAGATTTCAATGTTAATTCGTATATTGAAAGTTATGAACAAAATATATTTTCCCCCTTTTGCTAAGATTTAAAATCGTACCATACTTGTTGACATATTTTTATGTTTTCTTCCATCCTTCAGGCTCTTAGGCACACTTAGGCTTTACTTGTAGAAAATTAGCATGCAACATTGGCTTGATTTTAAAGGTGGCAGGATTTTTGAAGATTTTTTTTTCTCTCTGAAGATTCATTGAGCCTTTTCATGTGAAATTGTCATCAGATTTTCAGTTTGTGTAAATGTTAAAAGCTGAAGTTGATAACAATATTCGCCATTTATTAATATATGTTTACATGTATGTATCTGTGTCTTCAAACGTGTTATCTCATTTTAATCTGCACTTTGAAAGTTCTGATAGTGTTCTATAAGTTAAAAATTCACAAAATATATTAATGTTGTATGGAAATGTAATCATTCATTATTGAAGTGTTATTGCTGATTATTGTTAATTTTTTATACAGGTGATGAAAGTCTTAAATAGCAACAACGTCGAACATGTTCTAGCTTTGGGATCTAATTTTAGTACAGAAGCTGATTCACATTTAGTCTGTATGCAGAAAGAAGAGGGAGATTACCAAACTCAAGCAATCAGCATTGAGAACACTACTAGAAGAGGTACTGCAAATTAAAATTGTAGTATACACAGTACAAAGTCTTTAATCCGCAATGATCTATAATCCGGACCTCAAAGCTACAAACTTTCTGTGCATTTATAGCGTTTACACATAGTGGGTTTACATAGTGAGTTATCCAGCTTTTCAGATGAACATGAACAATTACTTCCATTGGAAGTTTTTCCTTTCGGATGAGTTTTTCTTTTGAAAATGAAAAATGGCGGTAGTTTTGTGCCATCAGCACAACATGTTAGAACTACCGTATATCAGGTTTTTTCGTGACCTGTGGTTTTTATGGGTATTGAATTAGACCCTTTAATACTCACAATCTTGTTGGATGGTACATCAAATGTGAGTGGATTTTCATCCATATTTCCTATTTGACCGAGCTCAAAAGAAGTTTTTTTGCGTGCATTTATAACAAAACTATGAAATGCCAGTATTTTTTCTTCATAATCTTCTGGCATTTTCTGTTCAATAGTTGATTTGTGCGCATTGATAAGCCTTGCCTTTTCATGAATCTGTAGTACCAGCCCTCAGACCCTGAAAAGTTCCCATGTTTTTCTGCAAATCCTTTTGCCCTCATTGATTATCATTTTAGTTGAAATACTTATCCCCAGATTTCCTCTTATCTATCACCCACATTTTTACGGCATTTTTAAGTTCAGGCCAAGAAGGAGCTGTGTATTGAAGGTTATGTTTTTATTTTTTAGCAGTCTTCAGTTGATCTTCCTGCAGTCGCCAAGTACGTATCATTTTTTTTGGTAGGTGGTGGACCGAAATGCCTTGCTGCTGCTCTGTTTCCGTGCACTTTGGCGTAGTTTAACACTCATAGTTTATACTGAATTGTATAGCTTAATCTCTTGTTTCCTGTAGTCATATTTTCTAGTGTATTTTTTAAAACAAATACTTTTAAGCACCAATACTGACACGTTTATACAGAGTAGCACCGATACCGACACGTGTGTCGGCTGAGTCAAAGTTTATATATTTAAAATATAGTCAAAGTTTATATATATAAGTCTATGTAAAGAAGGAAAGGCTCCATCAGCTTCGAGCTTTGGCAATTTTTGGTGTCAGATATTTCACGCATGCGCAAAATAATTATGGCAGATGTAGAAAAAGTCTAGACCTATATCCGGACTAAAAATAGCATTCGGTATTGAAAGTTAACATGTGTCCTTCACGTATAAGACGCTGGTAACTTTTTTGAGACCAAATTTAGGAAAAGAAGTGCGTCTTATATGCCGTCAAATACGATATATGGTGGTTGTGGCAGATTCCATTCGAGTCCGTATAGAGTCCAGCCAGTGAATGCAGACATATGTGGTCTTGCATTATCTTGATGGAATATTACTTTTTTGCACTGGAACTCAGTTCCACATATTTACAGGATTGGAATTGACAATAAAAGAAGAGAGAGAATGCTTATGATATGAACACAAGCATGAGAAGAGAGAGATGATGATATATTATTATTAATTTTGAAAAATTGAAGTTATTTCTCCATAATGAGAATAGAATCTACAGATTTTACAGAAAGAGGGCAAGAGAAATAGCACGGAAAATAGAAGCAACTAATTCATCTGATTTACTCGTTGAATGCTTGTGATGTCATATATCATTTGCTGAGGGTGTTGTGATTTTGAAGAGTTACCAGTCATTGATCAGTAAATTCTGACCCTTAATCTCTGTAATCTGATTCCCTACAGTGAAAGATGTTTACCTTGCTTTGGCTATGGTGAGAGTGTAGCACATATATCTTGTGAATTGTGATTCACCTGTAAGTTTTTTGGTGAATTATGCCACCTCTAAGAAGCTAAATTTATGAAGCCAGAAATTTATAGATGCATGTTCTGTAGAATTTTCATGCATTAAAGCATCTGAAATTTCAGTGAATCATGTGCACTGCAGTGTACACAACAAAGACTTCTCAGTTGTGCATGGCAGAAAAATTAATTATAAGTAGCACTTCTTTTCTGAAAAGCATACAGAAATTGATGCTGTAAAATATAAAGATATTAACAAACTTCTTCATAAAAGATGATGAAACAGATGGCTGTAAATATCAAATGCTAATTTTTCCGAATTTTAATTGAACATAATCTACTAATTTCAGTTTCTGACCATTCAAAACTGTTTTTCTGTGCCATGCTTGCAGATTCTGCCATAGCAGAAAAGTTAAGATGTGGCTATACCCAAAGTGGTGCAACTGTGACAACGCTTGCAGGAAGTATTGTTGCCACTGTTGTAAAATCAGTGTGCAATACATCATTTACTCCAAGTACTGATGGAAGTAATGATAACAAACTGAACTCTTTGATTATGACATACTATAGCAAAGAAAAGGGTGAGATGATTACTTCATTTTTTTAAAATGCACAAATAATACCGGAGAGGGTATTTTTTTACATGACTGAGTACTTTAGTAAAGGTTTAGAATGAAAAAAATTCCTTATAATTTTTTTCTGACAATGCTAGTAATATGTTGGGAAAATTTAAAGTGCAGCATCTTTCATTAAAATGAATCAACTAGATTTTATAGTCTACATAACACCTCTTGCATATAGCTTGGGGGGGGAGAAGCAGCTACTGAGCAATTAATCAGCTCAAAAATAGAAATGTAGTTAATAAGATATATATTTTTATTTAGAGGAATGTTCAAATTGGAAAAACAGCTTTAAACTTGCTGAACAAATTTTGGGACATAATTCAAAATCTCCATAACATTTTGAAATACTGTAGTACAAAATTATTTCTCTTTTAGTGTCTGTAAGAAGAATTTTGGAGCAGCGAGATGCTCTTATTAATATTTTTGGTGATCAACCAGAAAACAGTGAGAATGCAGAAAAGAGATTGCAAAACATTAAAAAAAAATGTTACAATCACCTACCACCAAATTGTGTTTATTATTTTTGAAGCATGATTTACCATTGTTTAAAACAGTAAACACTCTGCAACAAAATCCTTATATGCATAAATGAGAAGAGAACTTTTTGCGACTTTTAAGGAATGTATTTGTTAAGGAATTATTTGTTAAGGAATTTATTATTTGTTAAGGAATGTATTTTGTGAAACCATCCGTAATTTCCGAAGAAAACATAATTGTTACTCTGATACCTTTTCTACTTAAAAAGTGTAATAAGGAAAATGAAAATTTAGTGATTGATGCAGAAAAAATTTTATATTTAAAAAATGCCAAGTTGAATGAAAGTGATTTTTTTTTTTTCATTTCTGTGCATTTCTTTTGGGAACTGCATGTTTCATGTGTGTTAGATAAATTTTGTCTAAATGATGTGTTTCTAAAGCATGCTAAAGTTGCTGACATGAACTTGACATTTGAAATTTCGTTTTCTTCCATTCATTTCTTGGTGAATACTTTGCCAACCAATGATAAAAAATATCCTGATCAAGTGGAAATTGAGTTTTCTATGCATTAAATATGTATATAATTTACAACAAATATTTTTAATTATTCATTTTTTATATACATGCATTTTTAATTAAGTGTAATTAAATTGGTTACAATTAATGGTTAATTAAAAGGTAACCTTATATACCCATTAAAAAATATGCCTTACATGTGCATTTTCAAAGTTTTAAAAATGTTGTTCGCACGTTGACCAATGACAAGTTTTGCTGTAGGTTAGAGTCTATGTGTATAGCTTTGGTTATGTCAGTATGTATTATAGCTTGCATTGGTTGATGAAAGTTTTGGTTTCAATATTGTTGGATAAATGATTCTAATTTCACCTTTAACCATTATGTAAGTATGTATGTGACATGCATTACATAAAAATCATGATAGCCATTAATTATCATGTGGTATCAGTTGATGGAATTATGTAACATCATAAAAATATCTGCTTAAACATGGGTGTTATTATTTTGTATTCTAAACAATATGAATGAAACTAGTTTAAAATAGCTATTTGATAGGAATGAACTGGACATCATTTTGCGAGTTGTTGTGGAGATCCGTTGATCAGCTTAATACAAACTTAGTGTTAGTCAGAACAAAGGCTGATTCTTTTTGTCATCTGTAGGTTGTGAAATTACTTTTAAGCATGGCTCCAACCGCAGAAGTTTAGTTAAGGAAGTCTTGTGCAAGATTTTTATTCTGATTATTGGGATGAAGGAGGGAGGGTAAATTAACTCTTGACTAAAATCTTCAGCTCATAAGATTACTGTGACAAGTAACCAGTTTATAGTCCTCATAATCTGTCTTATTTATATGCCTCTAATCCTTGGAGATATGAGTGAAACAGGCATGCCAATGTGCTAGACTGAAGGCCACTGGAATTTATTGTTTACAAATGAGTAATATTATTTCCTGTGGTCCTGTAGATTAAATTCTAAATACTTACATTCTAGTAGTATATATCAGAGCGCAGTTATGGCAGATGTTTCATGTTTGAGGTGGGTTAATTTTTTTAGATGGATGTGTTCCGAGTATTCACTATTAATATAGAGGTATTGTGCAACATTTGTGCAAGGAAAACACTTATCTTGCTAGTGAATTTGGAACTGAAAGAGTACTTCCAAATGAGAATACTGTGTGCATGGAGTGGCTTACTGCAGAATTTGCAGGTGCTTAAGAGGAACTATATTTATCAATCCCTACTCAGCTGATTGATGTTTTTGTAAACAGTATGGGGCACCGTATTAGTGAGTATGCATTGTTATAGAGGGAAATCACTTTTTAGATTGAAGTACTTTATTCCATTTTAAACTTCTAAACATTTTCTCATATATGATAATTTTCTGATGAAGTTTCATATAAAATGTTTTCAAGACATTTTAAACCGATATTGTATTTAATATTTTCATTAAATTTCATTAAAGTTCTTTGTATAATCTATTTTAACGTGACTTCTGATTTATCTCTAAGAAATGCCAATGTATATTGACTGTCGAATTTTGGAAAATTGTGTTGTTTTTTGTGATTAAATACATATATATATGGTTAACTTTCCAGTAAATAGAAAATGCTTCTCTTAGTATTTAAGTTTTCTGTGTTGAATTTGTAAATAAATGAAATTTCAGTAATTTTGTGGAGGTAACATACTCAAATTTCATTTATTCTTAAATGGAGCAGGAAAACTCAAGTCTGCAGATTTGGGATGAGGGAAAGATGTATGATTCCTGTGTGATGTAGAAACTGAATAAAAATCAGTGACTAAAGCAGATAATGATAAAAGCAGGGACTAAAACAATTATTTTTGTTATTAAATAGATATTGCATTTCAGTTTGGCTCTGTTTTTATAAGAAGTTCTTGTACATAAAAGTCAATGTCTTTGATGACATTAGACTGTGAAGTATTATTTTTGGAACTAGTGGAAATAGAGTTTGAAAAAAAAAAAAAAAAAAAAAAAAAGTATGTAATATAAGTGTCATGGAATACATAAACTTTTTAAGAGGAGCTTATATGAAATATAGTATTGCATCCATAGACTTGTTAAGAACTATTTTTATTTGAATAAAATTTGTATGATGTTGCTTTTAAGCAGTTATGAAAGAAAGATGAATTTAGATTTGTTTCTACTACTGATATACAAACAAAAGAATTTGGAAAATAATGTTTTGTACTTTCTGTATTTTTTTTTTAATCCCACTAGTCACCGGTGCCAGTTTCATTGTCTTCAGCGGTGCTCTGAAAAGCTCTTCTGGACTTTCTGCAAAATTCAGTATTGTTGAAGATGGATTGCTTGTGCAGATTCCACAGGAAACAATGGTTTCTCTTCACTTGGCTCTTAGAGATATGAGAGATTTGACAATTGAATGTGGGCAGATTAGTGCCCCTGAGCCAGAGGAAGTTGTTATCATTCAGTGGACCAGAGATGATAAAAAGTTTAATATAGGGTAATTTTTATGTTTATAATGTGTACTGTTCTGTGCGTGGTTATGAGTATATTATATATTGGATTTCTTGAAATGTAATGAACATTGCTTTTGTTTTAGAATATGCTAATATGTTAGCACTTTATTTCATTCGAAACAATTAATGTAAATTGATCAAAACTGTGAGGACTAATATTTACACATACAATTTAAGCAGCTAATTAAAAAACTGATCTTCTTATGCTGAAAGTTGGGTAAATTCTTTAAGATTTACCGTCATCTCTGGGGAATTTCCTTTTAATCATTTAGTTTTCTCTCTTTCATGGAGGATACAGTAAAATACTTGTTAAAAGAAGGGATATTCATGAAATATTAAGATCATATACCAGGTTTATGAGAAAAATATCCTTTTCAGAATTGCTGTTAGATTCATGTGTAGGTTTAAGTATAGCCTTTTTTAAGTTTTGCAGAATCACTTGGATGCTGATTGTTTAATAATGCAGTTAGAATAAGTAGAAAAATATCTTTATTAATGCATGGAAGTTTTTCATTACTTACCTGAATTTATTCCATTAACTTTTTTTTTTTCTGCTAAAAGTAAGCACATTGATTAAAAGAATTTGTGGATTATATATACAACTCAGTCATTTGAGTGTTTGGGGATCCGTCAATATGCAATAAATCTGCTGAAATGATCATTCTTGTGTTTGACAAAATCAGTATCTTTATGAACGTGCACATGATGCTGAAACGAATGACTCTTTTTTTTTTTTTTTTTAACTTTAAATTATTAGGATGAATGCACTAAAGTTGGACTATTGAAATAAACATACAACAGTAACTAGAATTAAAGTAAAAAACCAAAAGTTTAAACCATGTACCTAGAGGATTTTGCATATTTTGAAATTTTTAGCTGTAAAATGACTTGACCAGTGGTTTTGTTTGGCATGCGACATTAAATGTACCAGAGAAATATTCTAAAGTAATGCATTTCACAACTTTTGTATTTTTTAAAATGTAAAAATGAGACTTTACATTGGTGTAATATAAAAAATGTTTAGTTTTTTTAATATATTGAAATTCTTAAGAATTAAAGTAACTCAATAACTTAATTCATGTGAATTCATAACAGAAATTTGAACAGTCAAGTGCCATTTATTTAAATGAGATATTTTTGTAGTTAATGACTTCAGCAGATTTGGACATTTATTTGAAATGTTTCGTTTTTTAAAGGTTGCTTTTTCAAAAGCAACCTTCATTGCTTTTTCAAAAGGGCAACTGACATATTAATTTATCATTTCAGTGTTAGAAATAGATTCATTTTGTTTCTATTATCCTTATTTGTTAATTTTCTCATCATAATGTCATTTTTAAATTCTTGGATCGATTAAGCAGTTACACAAGGGAAATATCGGCAAAATTTGAAACTTGAGTATTAACTGCAACCCATGACCTGAATGTAATTGTTGTGTAGGGCATTGCATATTTCAAATACCTTTTAATATAGAACTGCCATAACATTTGGTGACAGTGTTAGTACCATTCTGGGGAGACGGGATGGTTTTTTTAGGTGTTTAAAACTTAGGTACACTAGCTCCCAAGGTTCATATGTGTTCTATGGCTAGAAAAGTTGTTGTGTCATAGTACAAATTTTGAGGCATTTTCCAAGCTTTCTCAAATACCAAGTTTCTCCCCAGTTATCAAATAGATTCATGAATTTATAATTTTCCATTTATTTTTGTAGTATAAATACCAAAATTTTTTGTAATTTAATATTTTAAATATATTTTTTAAACTGATCAATAATGTGTTACTATTTCCACAGAATTACTCAGAAACAAATGTATTGAAAGGTACAGGGTATATCATATTGAATAGGACAAAAAAGAATAGCATAGGACAAATTCTATTATTGGTTTATAAAGGCAAATTATTTCTGAAAATGCAATTATACAAGTTTTATCTGGCAACAGTGAAAAATTTTATGGTTATGAAATCACCACTAGAGGCACTGTTAATCAAAATGTCCCCATCCATGTTGGGGAATGCATACTTAGTTTTGGAATATGCCAAGGTGTCATCACTTATCATTGTGCAAAGACATTTTTGCACCAAATTTGGTAAAGAACCACCACATTGTCCCAATATAGAATAGTAGGAAGCAGTTTCAGCATGCAGGCTACTTTTGTAGGAAAACCAGCCTGGAATGAACAACAGCCAAAACTGAAGTGGGTGAAAAAAATTCATGAAACATTTTTACAAAGTCCCACAAAATCAGCATGTTGTGCAAGTTCTGAATGTAGTATGCCTCTGTAATGGTGTGGCATGTGTTATGGAAACATCTACAATTTTGGCCTTGCACCTTCGAGATAATGCAGGTGTTAAAACCTTCTAACAAACTATTGCATAAAGTTCTCTGTGAGAATCTGCAAGATAAGCTGAAGGTAGATGGTTTCAGGAACAAGGATGAAGCCACTTTTCATATTTCTGGCAAAAATTGATGATTTTGGGGCACAGAAACTTCACGTGGTGTAATAGTCATGGGCATGACGTTTTCTATGCCACTTTTCAACAGTTGTGTTTTTGTTCCTGTTTTCTTCGGGGAAAAATCAATTAACCAGTGCATTTACCAAGGTAAGCTATCAGAATGGTTGTTTCTCCATTGGAGGAAGTGGTTCCTGGCTTCATTCTGCAGCAAGGTGGTGCTCCATCACATTGGCATAAAAATGTATGCTAGTGCCTGTGAATGATAGCTTAAACCACCGCTGTATTGCCTGCGCTGGATCAAATGATATGCTGTTGCTTTGTTGGCCACGAAATCACCAGATCACCCTTGTGATTTTGTCCTATAAGGTTTTTAAGACAAAATTTTGTTAATACCTACATTTCCCAAAGACTTGACAGGAATTGAAGCAGCATGTAACTGAAGTGCTTGAATCATTAACAAAGCATGTCCTATTGCGAGTGTGGCAGAAAATGGAATACTGCATAGATATTTGTCATGTCACTAGAGATGGCACACATAGAACGTCTAGAAACTTGGATAACTAGTTTCTGACTCACTCTGCATTTTTTGCATATGCCCTAATGCTTCATATTCACTCATGAATTCACAGTACACCCTAGACATGTCAGGGGTTTTGTCTAGTTTCTTCCACAAATTATTTAACCATTGTGTGGCTAGTCACCCAACTGAACATCTTCCCTTAATGGTAGAGTCACTACATATCTACCTTTGATATCCCGCTGATGGATTTTCACAAAATTATCCTCACATTCTACTTCTTTATTTTTCATTTTGAGTGTATAACAGCCTCAATTTCCCAAAACGACTTGATTAGTGAAGTCTTCTTCGACTTTCATAAATCCGCACTGAATTGTATTGTCTGAATTTAAACCAAAATTTAAACTGCTAGCAAAATCCAAATATGGAATTTTGAAAAGTTAAATGCGAATTTCGTGGATGAATTTGATCAGCCTTCAATAGTTCATTAAAGCATTTTGCACCTAACAAGGCATCTATTTTCTGTGGTTTTTTAAAATGCTGATCTGTTAGTTTTATGTTTTGAGGAAGCTGTGAAATTGTAAAACTAAAATAAATAACTGGTGGTGCTAAATCATTAATTTAAGTTACAACAAAGAATTCAAGAGCTCTGTGGTAATCACACTTGTTTGATATCACAGGAGTAAACTTGGATTTTACTAATAAAGGCCATTTCATTTAAACATGAAATTGATATGTTAATTTTATTCCTTTTTATTCCAAGCTTATTAGCGAAATCATAGGTAAAGGAACAATACTGACTTCGACTGTCAAGAAGAGCTCAATGTGCAATAAAATTCCCGAATGAATCTTTAACATAAATAACAGCAGTCTGTAATATAATGCTTCCTTTGAAATCACTTGTGAAGCAATTACAGACAAACTAGTCAATTCCGAATTGTTATTTTGGTTGCAGTTTGATAACATTTCAAAACATCTGGCATCAGTGTTCGGCTTCGAATTGTCTACTGAAGGAAGGTCAAAATTATTAAGAGATGTATCCTTCCTCTCTACGGCAGCCGCTCTGGTAGCAGACAATTGTGAAATATCTTGCTTGGGAAAATGCAACAAGGTATGATGTTTTCTCATGCGCTTTTTAAACAGCTGAATTCTGAACAACAGCTCTTTGCAGAATGAGTCAGATTAAAAAGCAAGCAATTAAAACATAATTTGTGTTTCTTAACAAATTTAAGACATTCACTTACAATCATTTTCAAGAAAGTGTCACATTTATACAACTTGTGAATATTGTTAATCTTACAAGAAATACATTTAAAATCTTGACTTTTAACATTTGATACAAAAGCCTAACCTTTTGAATAGTTTGATCCTTTCTTGCATTAAATGCATTTGATGACTGCAAAGTTCTAGCATTAATTTTTAGAAATGTAATAATCTCAGATAATTTAGGTAGCTTATTTGTTTTTGAATCTCTTGCCCACCAAAGACGAGTGGAAGCATCTAATTTTTCTAGCAAAATATATGCAAGAAATGTTTCTGAAGAATCCCCCCCCTTTTTTTTTGTTCTAAAATTTCCAGAGACCTTAACACTTTCATTTATTGTGCCTACTAATTATAAAATAGAAGACAGGTTTTCTTTTTTTATGGGAGAAATTGACATGAACCGCTTTATTTGAGCAAAGACCTGATCACGTTTATTGGAGTGTCTCTCTTCTAAAAAATATTTTATACTTATTATTACAAATTGACAATTTTATAGTTACCATTACAAATTGTGATTGACTGAATAATTCTTGCTGCTTCGCCATGAAGCGATTGATAACTTCAAATACAAGAGTTTTTGGGAATTATGAATATTTGAAATAAAAAGATCCCGAAAGCGTAACCAGTCTTGAATATTTCCATTAAAAGATGGCAAGTTTAATTCAGGTAATTTTATACCTTATGCACTGGTATTTTCAATCTTTAAATTACTTGCCTCTTAAATGTGTGACATTTAATTAAATGTAATAATAATAATTTAATTAAATTATTACATTTAATCTTAAATGTGTGACATTTGTGTGACATTTAATAGTGTTGACATTTGTCATTTAACTTTAACCCGTAAAGTACCAATGTTCTCTTGACTAGTTTGCTGTTCAGTCACATATTTATCAAAATCTCTTTCATCAACTGCTTCAAATAAATTTTTAAAAATATCTGAACACTCATTGTTAAATTTTGCACATTTATTTTCAAAAAGTTGTAGCTGAAATTCATCACAAGTACATTTTTCGAAATCCGAAGTACCTTTTGTTATACTTAAATTTAAAATTCTTTTCTTAATAAACAATGCCTCCATAATTTAGAGCTAATTAATAATGCAGAATGTATATGAACAAAGTTACTTACCTCCAGTTGAGGTAATCCAGATGAAACCAAAATTATAATTCCAATCACACTAGTTGCGACGAATTCCACATAGCATTACACTCTTTTTATCAATTTAATAACACGTCATATTTTTGCCTTTTAATCAGCCTTTTATCTACAGATACATCTTCCTACCGGGTCACTAGGCCCACAAATGTTCGAGAATAGAATTGAATCACACAAATATTCATGGAATTCACTCACAAAATTTGAAATGGGCTGTATCATCTTTTATTTTACTTCTGTTAACAGACATTGCACACACATGTAAGAACTTTAGTGGAATATTTACTATTCGGATAAACACTCTTGCAATCCACTCCTTAACAACATGTCACCAACCTGAGCTACCAGCTCACACTGAATCCATGGCTGCTAGTTTTTCACATTGTTCTTTTTCACTCATGGTTGCCAGATCACTCTAGTTAAACAATATTCTCCTTAGATTTTTGGCGTCACTTCTCTTCTGCCTTAACAGTTCCATTCATTATGAAACACCTTGTAATCTGTTTCAAACCCAGAACTTTGAACTTGAATCATAGAACTTTAACTTGAATTGCAAATGAGATTTCATTTGTGGAAGGAAAAAAAATTAAATATTATATTTTGGAAATAAAAGCATTACTTTTATCACCAGCTACAAACTTCGAAAACATGTAGTATATTTGGTCTTGTTAATTTAAGTCCTTTACATAAAATAAATTTGTTTTTAGTAACTTCTGTGATTGAAGATGAGTGCTATCCAGCGTATATGTTCCATTTATGTAAAATAAATAAACACTAAGAAAGGTTTGCTAGGTTTTTGAAATATGAAAAAAAAAAAAAAAAAGTTGCTTTTCTCATTTGCATCTATTTTGCAATTTGTGGTTAATACACATAAATAGTGTCCAATAACTTATTTCTTAGCATATTCTTTTATTGATTTTATCATCTGAAAATTTATCAGTTACTTTATCAGTTTCATGTGAGTACCAGAGGCATCTCACCTGAAAGAATCTTGACTGCAGTTCTTAAGAACGATATGGGAGAAAGGAAGGAGAAAGGGGTACCAACAGAAGGCATGGATTTTGAAAGATCAAACACATCAGCAATAGATAAGACTGCGATGAGCTTTAACATAAATAGCAGAGCTAAGGTGAAATCGCATGTTTTAAAAGTAACTTGCATGTGAGAACACCTGTGACATTGAGGCAACAAAACCATTTCTTAGCACATTTAACTTAAATCTGTAATCATTGTCAAGCGTAATGCTACCATACTCAAAAGAAACGGCTACCATACTCTTTGTTATTCAATTACTAATATAACAAAATTGTTTTGGCATTGATGCATAAGCCGTTACTCAAGTTATCGTGTTGAATGAACATGCGACGATGAAAGTAAAATATTATAAATTTTAAGATTATTCTGGATTTTAGATCATTTCTAATATTGGACGTCCGTGTCTCAGACTTTGTGCTGTAATAATAATAGTGATTAAAAAGATTTTAATTTCTACTCACAGTTCCTTGGTCAGGACCAGTGCAAGTCTAATGTGTATATGTATATTTATAAATCAATAAAACTAACTCCTGAATTAATTGCATTAATAATGAATGTAACCGTCAGTGTATTGGGTGACATAAAAGGTCTGTCAAGTGCATATTATAAGAGGGTAAAAGCTGTGAAAAACCAGAAAACTGTAAAAACAAGAAATAATAAAGTATTTTTGACTATGATATCAGTACTATAACTGCTAACATAATTTTCTTCATAACCATTTCTGTCACAATTTTCACTACAGTCTAATTCTTTGTTCTCTTATAAGTGCAGATATCAAATTTGACATTACTACTTTCAATTCATTTATAATTTCACTTTGTGAATGTCATTTGGGAATTTTTAAAATATTAAAATATTTTAAATTTTAATACTAACTGGGAAGAAGTGATAGAAGAAGCTGGAAAGTTTTTAGAGAGACAAGGTTTTTTTTTTTTTACTTCACGCTTCGTAAAATCAGCTCCATTAGAGGAGGGATGTAGAAAAATGCTTGGAACATAGGCAAACAAGTATCTTTTGCTTACTGATTGCTTTAGGTTGGTCTATTTGTGGCAAAACACTCAAGGGCTATCTGCCTAAGCGGAGGTATGCCTTTGTGGTGGACTTTCTAAAGGGAACTTACTCATATGCTCATTACACATGGGGGAAACCATGAAAACACCCATGCAGCCAACCTAATCACAGGATTTGAATCTCGGACCAAACTGCCTGTGTTCAACAATTTTACATGTTGGTTTCCGGTGCTTACTTACTGAATCACTGCCCCTCCATCCTGTTTCCATCCGCACGCAATCAGCAAACAAGAAAAGGCTACATACAAGCATAATAAATGTAAAAAGTAGGATAGTGACTATATAGTGAGGTATGAGTGCAGTGTTAAGCTTATTTTAGTGACTATATCTTGACATATGAACGCAGTGGTAAAGCATGTTGTGGTAACTGTATGGTGACATGAGAGCATAGTGGCACTGAACATAGATAAATGCCGCTAAGGAATTTATTTTCATCGCTAAGGAATCCATTCTTTGTGCCGTTTTTTGATCTACCCCCAAAAGCAAAAAGTGTAAAAAGAATGTGTTCCGTTTCAGAGTGGTTAATTACAAAATTCTCCTCTAGTCTTTTGGTTTTAATACTTTTCTGTATGTTTCATAGAGCTTTGTATGCATAATGGATTAAAGTGTATTGTGGCGAGATATGATTGCAATGGGTTAATTATGCAGTGTTTTTCATATTGCTATGTATGCTAGGCCTTTTTTTCCATAAGATTGAAGCTGAGATTTTTGTTGAAGTAATAGACATTAATGAACAAGTGAGAAGTTTGTATGATTAATGTCTTCTGCAATTGAAAAAGCAAGCTGTATTAAGTGAAGCATTGAAACATAATAAAATAATGCAAGGTTTGAAAATGAGGTATTCCTATCACATATAGGCCAGTCGCTATGCAAGGAAAGCATTTCTTATGTAGTTTTTAGACAAACCTGTTAAGTAGTTGAGAGAAAAAGACTATATTTAGAAATTAATGGATTTATTTTGAATATTTTAAGTGACAAGTATACTATTCTTTTCATGAGAAGAAAGCATATATGCCCTTCTTGGATCAGTAATGAAGGGCAGGCAGGTATATGATAAATGTAATTAATTATATAATGTAGATGTGATTCACAAAATTATTAATTAAGGGAATCTGTCTTAATCCTTTCTTCGTAATTATTTAATTACCATTTTTGTATTTTAAATTAATGGAGTATTTTAAAAATTTATTTATGTATGATTATAGAGTGAGAAGCCCCATAGATGGTAGAAGCTTAGAAGGTGTATCTAATTTAAGAATTCATACCTCAACTGATTATGCTGGTGAAAATTATCTCATACGCTGGACTGAAGTTTTCTTTCTTGAAGTTGATGAAAATTCCAGTGGTTTGCAGTATGTACTGAAAAAATTTAAGTACATTTTTTTTTTATTTGCTCATGTGGTCTTCAGTTCTTAAATGTATATCTTGTTTTTTTTTCTCTAGTAGTGAATTGGTTGATCCTTGTCGTTTTGCTGAAACAATTGCACAGTCCTGTTGCATGGCTTTAACACCTTATCTTGACCAGCTTGCTGAAGCAGAACTCACCAAACTGGGTTTACGAGTAACTTTAGATTCTGAACAAGATAGGGTATGTATATATGTGTAAAATAACTTAAATTGGTCTCACAATTCGTTTGCATTTTCAGGAAGACTATTGAAATCTGATTGCAAACGCCTCCAGAAGACTGTATGCAGTGGTAAAAATTATTTCAAATCATTTGATTGTCTAGAGTAGCATTATGATGAGAAAGAAATAGATACTGGGCATTTAGATATGAGTGTAGTAAAAATGAGGGAACAGAACAGGAAGCCTTCATTATAAAAATAATAAAAAAAATTATACCATTGCAAAATGACCAGTATATATGGAAGATATTATTAAAAAACGTTGAGTTTATAAAAGAAATGCAGTATCTGCAAAGTGCATGCAAAACAAAACGAAGTATGCCTGTACTACTACTAAATTACAGTCCTGATGTTTTTTTGATATTTAACATAAAACTTGTTACTCTGTTGAAAAAAATTATGTACCGAAACCTGAAATGTAGCTGGGTTTTTAAAGCTTTATGAAAAGCCTGTTTACATGCGTGCATATGTATCTGTTGAAAAAAATTATGTACCGAAACCTGAAATGTAGCTGGGTTTTTAAAGCTTTATGAAAAGCCTGTTTACATGCGTGCATATGTATGTCACAGAACTCATAATATTTGTTTGCATCAGTTATCAAATTTATGCTGCATTTCTTATTTGTTAATTAAATATGCATATAAGTTATTTGTTAATTAAATATGCATATTGTTGCATATAAGCTGATTCAGTTTTGTAGTTTTTTCTTCATATTACAATATAGCTTTAATAAACTTTTCATCTTCCTTTCCTCATTCTACTTTGTTTCTTCTCTTCTTTTTGATCTATGTCATCTGAGTATTCAGGGCACTTCTGTTCTTTTTTTATATGGTGACAATGTTGGAATAAGGATATTCTAAAAAAGCGTTTTTAAATCTGAAAGCGTGTTCCAAGCCAGTCTGTGCATCTAACTATCTGTATTTATTTTCCCCTAATTACATATTCTATTACATCTATTATAAAATATATGTTTTTGATGTTTATTTTTGTGGGCAGCTTTTCAGTTGTCACAATGAAATGTGATTGTAGAGTTTGTGTAATTTCTCTGGGAAAATGAAGAATGAGTGTGCATCCTACTCCATTTTCCTGGCTTTCTGGATCATGAATTCATCTTTTAAGAGTAAAATATAAGGTTTGGAGTTGAAGGTAGTCCGGATTTTTCCACATAAAGCAAGCACAGTCAATTAGTAGTGTAGTTTAGGTAAAAATAACATGCTGAACAAATATTAATTTAGAAGTCAAATGACTAAAATTAGCATTATGTTTGTAATTTTTTACAGGACTAGTTTTGATGGTTTTACAGAACCATCATCCTCAACTGTCAAAGAGCAAATGCACAAGATAAGATATAGTGATAAGATAAGTATTGCTGGACAGGAGTTAAGCTACTGGTGCCATCTATTGATGAAACAAGAAAACTAAAGCATAATATCCTTAAAGGCTGAAGGTAGAGTTTGATTAGAATTAGGGTTGTTAACTAGAACAGAGGGATTTTTTTAATGTGAAATATCTCTAGAAAACCTAGTTCACCAATGGAAGATTTTTTTTGAATAATTTTGGCTGCAAAATGAAAAGTGTGATTTTTCAAACCAGCAATAATAGGCAACAAAGGACTTATGTGTTCACTTTTTCCTAACATGTGCCTCATGTTCTTTAACTCAAAATTTTTAGGCTCTCTTAGTTTGACCAATGTAAATTAAACCACACTGACAAGGAATCCTGTAAATACCCCAGGAATTTGTATCCGGAATGGGGTCCTTAAATATGGAACTCGGAATTTTATTGATAGGAGAATAGACGACCCAAAAGTTAAATTTCTGTAAAATATGTGCAATTTTATACCTAATTCATGGAAAAAAAGGAATGAAAACATAATTTTTATAATCTCCTAAAACAAGAGTGTACTTTTTGGTGTGTTGAGACGAGAATTTTTTAACTGCTTGGTTAATAATGCTGGGTTTTAAAGCCCTATCAATAACTACTGCTGCTAAATATTTTAGTTCTTGATCAAGAGTCAGTTTGGAGGAGCAGACTTGGAAGTGCATGGGAAACAAAGAAATAAAATGAAGCTAACCTTTGTTGGTTGGATGACATGATTTGAAGTGTGGAAGGCAAACAGATAAAGGTTTATGGTGAACAGTAGTTCTGAAGTTGGATGTGTTACATGTGACCAAAATATTGAGGAATGGAAGAGAATTCATGTCTCAAGTTCAAAAGTGAAGTGAATAGTAGGATCAATGGAATTTGTTTCTGAAAGAACTGTATTTAAATCATTTTTATGACTGTCAAACAGGGTAAAAGTATCGTCTGCATTGTGGACGACTATCTAGCCAACTTTGTCGGTCCTCTGAAACCAAATCTAAATGCGAAAAAAAAGAGGTACAATGCGCAAAATTGTTTCTAACCTTGACATAATCATTTCGAATGCTGACAAAGGTGGCCAGATAGTTGTGATGCACCAGAAACTTACATTGATGGTATCAGTAACCTCTTAAATGAAGGAGCATGTAATCTGATCCCTAAAGACCCTTCACCTTCAGACCTCTCAAAAATAAAAACCATGATCAAATCATCAGAAATCCTTTTGACCAACTTAAAACAGTTGCTTATCCATTCTGCTATGAATTGTGCCAGCTGATATGCTCTTTATTATATTCATTTCCACCCTATTGTATCAAATTTAGGCAATGCCTTGTACCCATTAGCTAAATATATAGTTTCTAGATTTCCACCTCTATTAGATAATAACATTTACACCATAAAAAATTCAATAGAGTTTGTAAAAAAAGATTAAAAGCATTTCTCCTAGAAATTTACACTTCGCGAATTTCATTTCTCCTGCATTGGAATTGATGAGCTGATTTCCTTTATACAGTTCTGTTTGAAACAAACGCATTTTGTTTTCCAAAATAAGTATTACAAGCAAACTGAGGGTTTAGCCATGGGAAGCCTTCTCAGGTCCATCCTGGCTGATATCTACATGCATTATTGTGAATCAAAATTATTTGAAACTGTAAACTTCCTAGTATGTTTCCACTACGTAAACCCTGTTTGATGGTAGTAAGATGAATTCTTTCACTAATGAATTTCATTGATCTGGCTATTCACAGTTTTTTTTAACTTGAGACATGCAATTCTCTTCCGTTCCTCTACATTTTGGTCACATGTAACACACCCAACTTCAGTACTATTGCTTACAATAAACCTTCATCAGTTTGCCTTCCATCACATTTCAAACCATATCTGACCAAACAAAAGTTAGCTTCATTTTATTCTTTTGTTTTCCGTGCTCTTCAAGTACGCTCCTCCAAACTGGCTCTTCTTGATCAAGAACTAAATTATTTAAAAGCAGTAGCTATTGATAGGGGCTTTCCACCCAACATTATTAAACAAGCAATTAAAATATTCTTGTCACAGTACACCAAAAAACACGCTGTTGTTGTAGGAGATTATATAAATTTTGTTGTCATTCCTTTCTTTCTTTCAATTAGCTATAAAATTGCACATATTTTACAGAAATTTAGCTTTCAGGTCATTTATTCTCCTATCGAAAAATTCCGAGTTCCATACTTAAGGACCCCATTCTGGATATGAATTCCTGGGGGTATTTACAAGATTCTTTGCCAGTGTGGTGTATTGACCAAACTAAGAGAGCCTTAAAATTTTTTCATTAAGGAACATGAGGCATATGTTTGAAAAAAGGAAACACGCAAGTCCTCTGGTGCCTATTACTGTTGGTCTGAAAATCACACTTTTCATTTTTCTGCAGCCAAAATTATTCGAAAAACATCTTCCATTGGTGAATTAGAGTTTCTAGAGGCGTATCACATTCAGAAAATTGCTCTGTGTTAGTTAACGGCCCTAATTCAAATCCACCTTTACCTTCAGCCTTTAAGGATATTATGTTTTAGTTTTCCTGTTTCATCAATAGATAGCACCAGGAGCTTAACTCCTCTCCAACCATTCTTATCTTATCTCGTACATTTGCTGTTTGGTAGCTGAGGATAATGGTTTGGTAAAACCGCCAAAACTAGTGCTGTGAAAAATTGCAAATATAATGCTTCTTTTGTTGTTTGATTTCTATATAGAGTTTCTGGCAGCAGCAAAATTAAAATTAATAAATGTATTTTTCTATTTGACAAAATTCCATGGCTCAAATGTTCCAGCCCCCCCTTTTTTTTTGTAATCTGCAAAAAATATTATAAATGCATAAAGATTTGCAGCTGGAAATGAATGTCACACAAAGTTGCATCACCATTTGTTTCTGGAATAGTCTTGTTCCACTTGTTTATGATATTTACTGTGTTATTTCTTAAGAAATATAATGGCCAAGATTGAGCATTTATTGGCCTTCGGAGGACATGTTGTTTTATTTATGAAAAGAGGGATATTCTTTGTACAAGGTAGTGTGTCCCATTTATGGAAGAGAGATTCCCCCAACAGGCATTGTAGATAGCAAAGTAGGGATAGCTAAGTTGCCTGCAGATTAATTTGGATAATTTTGACAGATGGTAAGCTTTTTTATTTAAGTTGGAGAGATTACAAGTCGAAAGTACCGAGGTTTCCACAAGCTGCCTGAAACTATCTTGCTTGTTAGTGAAAAAATGACATAATTTCATGTTCTGAAGAAAATAACTTCCACTCAACCCTCTGATGAGACAGAAGTGTCTACTGTAGGTTAAGGAACTTGTACAGTGGTTACAAGATAAATAGAAGATATATTTTCTAATTAATTTTTAAGTTACAATTAATCTGTACGTGCCAGGGGGAGACAGGTTCTTTCCAAAGGAAATCAGACTGTGATGTTTTGTCCTTATTTATTATATTATGATTTCTGACATAACTTTAACGGCAAAGTTTCTTTTAGGATGGAGGATGCTGGTATGTTTTTCTTGCTTTGAATTTGCAGATTTCATCATCAGTGAAACTGTAAATATTGCTCTCAGTGAGGAAATATTAAAG